CCCCAAAACCCCAAAACCCCAAAACCCCAAAACCCCAAAACCCCAGTTATAGAGATATAAATGGAAATCTTAAAACATTAAAACATAATTTTTTGATCCAATATGAATCCAGACTACGATTATCTGTTCAAGATTTTGCTTATAGGAAACTCTGGCGTCGGAAAATCATCACTTCTAATGAGATTTGCTGATGATACCTTCACAGACAACTTCATGCCAACTATTGGAGTTGATTTCAAAATTAGAACTTTGGAAGTAGATGGAAGAACTATTAAGCTTCAGATTTGGGACACTGCTGGACAGGAGAGATTCAAGACAATTACAAGCTCATACTACAAAGGTGCTCACGGAATAATTGTAGTTTACGATATTACAGACAAAGAATCTTTCAAAAATATTGACAACTGGATGACTGAGGTTGAGAAGCATGCTTCCGAGAATGTCAGCAGAATACTAGTTGGAAACAAATGTGATATGGATGAATCCAGACAAGTCAGCACAGATGAAGGTAAAGAACTCGCAGATCAATATAATATTAGGTTCATGGAAACCTCTGCTAAAGAGAGTTCATTCGTAGAGGAGGCTTTTACTCTTATGACCAAAGAAATTAAGAGTAGAGTAGTGCATACAGATCAGAGAAAGCCATCTGGAACTGGCAAAAAGTTAACTGCTCCCAAGAAGAAAATTGAAAAGAAGAGTGGAGGTTCTTGCTGCTAACCTATATAATTATTCCAAAATTCTTGAATCAAGAGAACACCTTAATTCTTCTCCAACCTTTCCTTGGTGGATGATTCTATAATAATTTGAAATTTATTTTCCATTTTTATCAGATGCTTGGAGAATTTTTAAACCCCTCTCTAGCCTTAACTCAAAAGAAATATTCGATAGAAAATTAGAGATATGCTCTTCTAATCGCTGGCTGAGTTCTAAGATCTCTAAAAATACTCCTTTTCTCATAGGCAGCATCTGGTCTTAAAATCTTCTATGTTTTCGTCAGAAAAGCTTTCAGTTTAATATGCCATTATAGGGGTTTTGGGGTTTTGGGGTTTTGGGGTTTTGGGGTTTTGGGG